TCTCTCACTTCAGCTGACCCCACTTTGGTCCTCTTCTGCCAGGGTTGAAGAATTCATAGGTCCACAGAGGTCCACAGGCCCAAAGGATTGGGTCACCTGGAACTCTAGCCTTCTTCAAGACTGAACCTCAACCCGGAACCTTAAAATTCCCTACTCAAGTAGCCAGAAACTAACCATCAGAACTCGTGGGGTCATCTGCCCACCTCAAAGGGTGGCTGTTTGCCAGGAATGTGAATCAAGCAGGAACGGGAATACTGGAGTATCTATGGATGTGCATAGAAGGCCCCCGGGACTGCAGGGTAGAAAAGGAGGCGGGGTAGAGGGCTGGTGGCCTCCTTTGGTATCCCTTAAACACTTGGGGTGGCTCTGACAAGCTGACCTTGGCCAACTCACTTAACCTCCCTGTGGCCCCAAGTGGGGTTAATAATAGTAGCTGCCTCTGTGAGTTGTTATGAGGATGTGCCGAGTTAATTCATGTAAAGCACTTAGAACAGTGCCTGGCGCAGCTTATGAGCCCTAAGTGTCAGCTATTATTATCTACCATCCTGGGATTTGGCGCTTTTCCCTCCAGCTGCAGAAGAAACCTCTTAGCTTTCATTTCGAGAAACTATGGAAGAAGTAGTGTCTAGGATAGTCCTTCCACTCACCTGTGTGGTCCAGACCTCCTCTGTCCCTCACCAGCTCTGTATGCCCAGGCCAGCATCCAGGAGGGCAGCTTCCCACACTGAACTGAATGTCATGATTTGTTTAATGTCATTATTGACTGAATAAATGAGACCACAAATGAACAAATGAAGGAACAAATAAATGAAAAACTAAGACTAAATGAGTAAGAGTCAAAGAAAAGGCAGGCGGGAGAGGCTGGGCAGGAAGAACAGCCTCACAGACAGATGGTTTGGCTGTGGGGTTCGCAGATCAATTTCACTGACCACCTCTGTTTCTGTTGCCTTTTGGATGGTGGTTGGCAGGACCATCAGCCCTGGCTTTGGGAGGTGGCTCCACTCTGTGAGGGTTAGAGTATCCAAGTCCTGGGTCCTTTTGTGTCCTGTAAATCCTATAGATGCCTGAGTGTGGGGGACAGCTCAGAACCTCCTCACTGTCCAGCCCAATGTGGGGCAGGGAGTCTGGGAGAGATGTTGGTGAGGCTCACTGCTTCTTCATTTACACTTCTCCCCTTCGGCAGAGCCAGGCCTCAGTGAGACTGCCTGTCAATGGGGGGGGGGGTTTAGCAGCGATGGAGAGCCCTCTTGGGGCCTGTCAGCCTCTACCATCTGGCCAGGCTGGAGTTGAGGGAGATGGGGGACCTGTCAAAGGATAGCCTCTGTGCTCTCAGGCCTGGCTCTAGGCTCCCTAGGCTCACCTTAGGCAGTAATGGTGTTTGGGCCAATGGGAGTGATTTTGTGTGTGTGTATGTGTGTGTGTGTGTGTGTGTGTGTGTGTGTGTGTGTGTGTGGTGATTTTGTGTGTGTGTATGTGTGTGTGTGTGTGTGTGTGTGTGTGTGTGTGTATGTGTGTGTGTGCATGAGCCTAGACATGATAATTAGGTCCTGGTGCACTTAAGAGGAGCACTTCATATGTCTATATTCATGAGCTCTATGTTCACATGATGGCACACCTGTGTTCTTATGCACTGGGACTTTTGTATACGATGGTGCATGTCCTAAACTAGACTTGGGTCTGGGGATTTTCTTTTCAGGGGAGGAGATATTGGTTTGTGTGTGGGCCATGTGTGTTTTGGGTGTTGCATGCATATGGAGGCCAGAGGTCAACTTTAGTTCAAGAGAACGTGGGTCATGCAAATTATGCTAGGCTGGCTGGCCAGTGAATCCAGGGATCCTCCTGTCTCTGCCTTTCCACCCCTGGGATTAGAAGCACGAGTCATGCCCAGCCTCTCACGTAGGTTCTGTTCTTGCACAGCAAGAACAGTTTGTTGACAGTTTGCTGACTGAGCATCTTCCAGCATGGACATTGATTTTGTTTGTTTGATTTTGGTTTTCTAAGACAGGGTCTCACTCTAGTCCAGGCTGGCACCTGGGCTGACCTTGAATTTGCTATCCTTCTAAATCAGGGGAAAGTACTTCCAGATCTTTTTTTTTTTTTTTTTTTTTTTTTTGGTGTTTTTGAGACAGTCTCCCTGTAGCCCCAACTGGCCTGGAATTCTCTATGTAGACCAGGCTGGCCTCGAACTCACAGAGATCTGCCTGCCTCTGCCTTCCTGAGTGCTGGGATTAAAGGTGTGCACCACCACACTCAACTCAGGTCCATTTCTTTAGAGCAGCTGGAAGTTCCTGTGAGGGAAACCAAGTCAGCTGAGGAGCCCCTGGAAGCATCCCAGGCTGTCCTAGAGCCCTGTTCCCTGGAGGTAGGTGCTGGCTTCATGGATCACCCAAACTCTTAGACTCCTCAGGGCATCTTCCTCTCACCCACCCCAAAAGGGAGATAGGTAGCATGAAATCCACTCTTATGTACAGTTACACAATTATGCAGACCTGGGTATGAGCCAAACACATAAACAGAGTAGTAGACCCACCAGACCCAAGCATATGATAAATACATAATCATGCATATGCCATGACACATACACACTAATATAGCATTGCATAAATGTAAACATACAAGCACACACATTTTACACAATGGAACATATCCACAATGTATGATAACACACTCTCACAAGGATGCACATACCTAGAGTCACAAGTCATGCCAGCATCTGTGTTCACAAGCCTTCTGCCCTTTACCTATCTCTTCCCACCCTCTCTCCAGTCCTATGCTTTAGCCCTCATTCACCATGGATGACTCTGTGCAGAAGATGGTAAACATGGCATGCATTATATGACCCTATGAGCATGAAGTTGTATGTTTATATGTCTAAGTTTGGGTCACTATTTCATATCCTGTGTAGTTCTAGCTGTGTGTGGCATGTAAGTGTCTCTTTGTGACACTATGGGCATTTTTCTGCAGGTTGTGGGGGTGGAGTGTCTGTGCAACTGTGTCCTATGGGCAATCTCTCTGCGTGCCTGGGTGTGTATGCCTCTGTGTGCGTATCTGAGTGTCTACGGCTCTGTGGTCAGGCTCTGCAGGATAGCTTAACTGGCTCTACTGCAGGCAGAGGCTCTGGCCTGGGGTGGGGCCAGGTGAGACTGGACTGAATTCCCCAGCGGTTGACAGTCGTATTTACAGAGCTCCGAGTAGGACATAATTGCTTCTATTAATCTTTCTCCGGTTGTTAATTGCTCACTTATCGGGTTGTGTATTATGCCGACTGTTGCTCTTAATTCGCCTCCATAGCTGCAGGTGTTTGCTGCCTTATTAACTGTTAATCGGCGCGGCTAGGGATAGAGACTTAATTGGCCTCTAGAGTGGGACACAGGCGGGCCAGCCGGGCACTGCCAGGCTCTCAGCCTGTCCCTGGAACTCTCACCTGTGGTGCACAGGTGGCTACAGGGAAAGGGCTGGCCTACTGCCAGCAGACAGAGTCCTGCATACAGAAGTCAGAATGAGAACTACCAAGTATTGTATATATGCAGTCCTACCCCCTCCCAGAAGCCAACTGACCAACCAGAGCCCAGCTCCTATGCCTCTCTTCATCACCAACAACCTTATTCTACCCAGGATAGGAAGCAATCTCATTTATTTTAATTAAGCCTAATTGAGAGCTATCCCCAGGACAGAATGGAACTAGGTTTTTGCCCTTTAGGTCTCTTCTGCCTCCCTGTGGTTCTAGCAGTCAAGGCTGATAAGGTTAGAGGGACGAGGGGATAAAGAAAGGCGAGGAGGAGCTTCTAGCCTGCCTTGGTGGCTCACGCCTTTAGTCCCAGCACTCGGGAGGCAGAGGCAGGTGGATCTCTGTGAGTTCAAGGCTAGTCTATATAGCAAGTTCCAGGCCAGCTGGGACTACAGGGGGAGACCCTGTCTCAAAAAGACCAAAAAGAAAAGAAAAAAGAAGGAGCTTCTACCAGAGCATGAAGGACAGAAGTTAGATGCAGAAAGGACTTCCCAGGCAGTTGCCTCCCAGGAGGAAGTTCTGCTGCTTCATCCCAGCCACACCTCTGCCTGCACAGTCCTAATGACAGGGAACTCCCTGCACTGCACTGCTACAGCAAAAGGGCTCTTCATTCTGAGTCCTCTCCCAGAAGAGGCCCCGGGGCAGAACCAGGCCAAGGGCAGCCTGGCTCCAAGGGGCATCTGTGCTTGGCAGAGAATCTTAATTGTCCACAGTGGGGAAACTGAGGCCCAGGAAGAGCAAAGGGATTGCCCCAGAGCTCTGTGGTCCTCTCTAGTAAAAACTCAGACATGCAGCTCACTGGGCAAAGTTTCTGCTCTCTTTTCCCAGGAACCCTGCCCCATCACAGGCATTTTAGTCCACAGTCCCATCTCAGCGGCTGTAGCCTTAGGCTCCAGTGCCTGGAGAAGAATGCAATGGTTCCTGATACAGTGGACTCCCTGAGTCAGACAGTGAGTGAAGTGGGAGGACAGAGTCTGTGCTGCACCAACCTGGCCTGGCCAACAGTTCTCATCCCATGCCTAGAATCCAGTCTGCCCTGGCATCGGGAAATTCTTTCTGGTGCCTAGTTGTCATGTCTGGAGTTGCAAAGGAAGCTGCTTTGCTTTAGCTGGGTTCTGAGGGGAACTGGGCTCCAAGGAGGCAGGAAATAAGCAGAGTGCCAACTGTATGCCAGCGAAGAGTGAGTGCAAAGTGAGGGCAGTTCTACAAACCCTCACAAAACAGACTTAGGGATTAGTATGCCTATTTACAGAGAAAGAAACTGAACCACAAAGAAGGGGGATCAAGCCAAGGCCACACAGCCAGGAAAGGCGGACCTGGGGTCCCAACAAGTCTTGGCATTGCCTGGAGAACTGGGTCTTTGGTCAAGGACACCTGGACAGATTCATGCTAATGTTTCTGTAAAAGCCTGAGTGGACCAAGAGCAAGCGGTCACTCTAAGGGGTTTCCCACCCACCTCACATCCCAAACCACTGAAAAGCAAAGCACTCACGCATGCGCAGCCCAGGTGGTCATCTGACGGATGAAAGCAAAGCGAAGGGAACTGTCCAGGGATAGTTGCCCAAACAAGTTCCGGCTCCGCCTCTATGTTAATGACATGCAGATATATGTAAATTTGTACATGCAACTGCTTAAACCTTTGGGAGCAATAGGGTGACACAGGAGCAGTTGCTATGGAAATTCAAAAGCGACAAACCTACTCCCCCACCCAACACACCCCCACCCCCCCGCACCAGCAGGCACATAGACACGTGTACAAAGACCCAGGGTTCCTCGCTCCGGAGCCCAGAGGATCACGGAGTGGCAGAGGGTGTGAACCGGAAGGACCTCAGAGACTGCGCCCAGCCTAGGGATGCTGAGGCAGGGAGACAGTCTGGGCGTGAGGCGGGCGGCATCAGGCTCCCGGCGGGCCTGGGGCGTCGATGGCTTAAAACCCTTCGGGCAGCCGGCGACTCCTCCTCGGTCTAGTAACGAGTGCCCCGCCCGGCGTTGCATAGCAACGTTCCTAGAACCTAGCAACCGCCGGTTACGCCCCCTAGCAACGTCATACCCAAGCCACGTTCCTGGTCCCTACCAAGAGATTAGAGAGGGGCTTGTGAACTAGGACCAGAAGGTGGGTGGAGGTCATGTGGCCCAACCCCTATCCCGAGGCAGTCTTCAGGATTTGGGGGTCCATCTGCAGCCCTCTTCAGGGGGGAGAGGTGTCACGGGGCCGCGTTAGCACCCCCATTTATGGAGGGGCAAGCTGAACCCCGCGAGGCAGGCCCTGCCCGAGTGCTTTTCCACTCTTTTCCACTCTTCCCGGGTGCCTCTCCCCGGGAGGAAGCCCCAGCCTGGGGGAGGGGTGCGCAGCCCTCTTCGCCTCCGCGGCCGCATTAGGAAAACCACCCAAGTTTCGGACTCTAGTGGAGCTGCAGGTTTGCATAGTAATTTGTATTATTTGCATAAAGCGCTGAGGCTGCGGCGTTCCCATGCCCTCCAAGCCAGAGTTCCCCAAAGAGCCCTCATTCCCTTCCCTGGTTCACCTGTCCAGTCCCCTCTCCCAGCTCCCACCTGCACCCCGCCCTTGTCCCCCTCCACGTCCACCCCTTAGGACTAAGCTCTCCCACCCCGCCCCCCAGCTCAGCCTTGGTCCTGCCAGCCCCGACCTCCATCCCAAGGCCGAGGGCCCCCTCTGCTGTCGGTCGAGGGTAGGGCAGCCGCAGATCTCCTGGGGCAGGGAGGAGGGACTCCCCATAAGAACCATCTTCCCTCCCTTCCCAGTCCAGGGGTTTCTAACACGGAGTTTGCTTATGGTGCTGCCTCGAAGGGTGGGATCCTGGGCGAGTTAGCCAGGTGCAGCTAGTTTCCAAGTCAGTCCCCAGACTTGAGTCTCTGGAGGTGCTGCATACTGAGGCTCCCATCACAGCTGCTGTGGGGAGCTCACTCCAGACTCAAAGCTAAACCCTCATACCAGCCTCATCCAGCTTGAATGCCTTCCCAGGCCTAGATCCTGTCTCTGGGAGTTGGCGGGAGGTGCAGAAAGCAGTCAGTCTCAACAGAGACCTGCACCTACAGTAACACTGGCACACCAAGACCCTGACAAGGATACACTTGACATAGCCACCCAGAGTACAGAAAGTACATTGTGCCAACCCTCCCACCTATCCAAAACAAAAATCTTGGCACAAAAGTTTAAAATCACTCCTGGAACTGGGGAGAAGGATCAGTGGGCAAGAGCCTGTGACCCTAGGAGTTGGGGGAAAGGAGACTGGCAGATCCCTAGAGCTCTAGAGCTCCCTGGCCAACCAGCCTAGCCAAGATGGTGAGCTGATTCCATGAGAGACCCTAGCTAAAGGCAGTTAAGGTGGAGGAAGACAGAGGAAGACCTGAAGCCCTGCTCTGGCTTCTACATGCACCCAAGCATGCACACTACACACTACCCCCCCACACACACAAATTAGAAACAAAACCACTCCTTTGGCCTTTTTGTCTTTCCTCCATCTCCAGTCCTGTATTCTCTTCTGTCATCGAATTCTTCTCCCCTACTGCAGAAAATTTTTAAATGCTTCCAGAAGCCACATAGCAAGAACACACTGCAGTTCAGGACCCCAGATCAGCAACTAGGCAAGGCCCCATATCTGTACACCAAAATTGAGAGACACCTAAAGCCACACCTGGATGAGACTAGAATCTCTCCTGCCCCTCCAGCAGATGTGATCCTTACTTTGCCAAGTTTTTTATTGAACCAAAAATCAACACTAAACAGACTGCAGAACAGAAACATACAGGGCGAGTGGGGAGAACCGACCTGTCTTCCTCCGGGTCAGCACAGGTAACGGGATCAACATTCTTGTTTTGGTGGGCCAAAAGGGTCAGGCCTCTCAAGGGAGGGGACACTCAGAGCCAGCTCCATCTGTACAGTCCAAAGTGGGGTGAGGGGCAGGGCCAGAGGGCTCTAGAACTTCAGGAGGTTGAGCAGATACTTCAGGGACTGCAGACCACAGTGAGGCTTGGAGCTGGTGACTCATGGCCACCAGGGCCTTGAGGTGATAGAATAGACCTTGGTGGAGACATGAGGCCCTGTGGGGGTGCTGTCCACGGCCAAAGCCAGGGACAACTGGTGCTGCTGAATCACGATGTCCAAGCTGGCCCCAGCCTACTTCCGGGGGCTGCTGCCCCCACCCAGGTCCCTGCCTCCCCCTGCCTGGAGGGAGGCTCTGCCTAGCACAGATGCCCCTTGGAGTCAGGCTGCCCTTGGCCTGGTTCTGCTCCAGGGCCTCTTCTGGGGAAGGGGAGCTTCTCAGGGTGACCTCTGACTTCCTGTCCTCTGGCTGGTAGTGTCTCATCTCTACTTTTCTGTTGAAGGAGACTGTCTTGCGAACCTTGCCCCACACAGGGTTGGACATGGCTATGGCTGGAAGCTGGTCCTTAGGGAGCAGCACAGCCAGCAATAGGCTTGAGTGAGTGGCTTCCAGACCTGAGGAAAGAAGGAAGGAGAGTCCTGAGGCATCAAGATCAACAAGGAGCCCCCATGGTCTAGGGCTCAAGCCAGTGTAGACCATAGGAGACAAGATTCTGGAGCCTGGCTAAGAGGTTTGGCTCTGCTACTGCCTGGCTCTGTAACTTTAGATAAGTCACTCATCCTCTCCCTGCCTTAATTTCCTCATCTGTGAAATGGAGAATCTATTAGTACCCCTGTGGTAGAGCTATTTTGTGTATATGTGTGCACGCTTCTGTGTGTGAGCAGGTTCCATGCATATGTATGTGCATCAGGCCAGACCAGAAAACATTTTTAGGGGTTGTTCCTTGGGCACATCCACCTTTTTTTTTCAGACTGGCCTGGAACTGACCAATAAGCCCCAGGATCCACCTGTCTCTGCCTCCCCAGTGCTGGGATTAAAAGTATGTTACCATACCTGGATACTTATGTGGGTTCTGTGGATTAAACTCAGGTCCTTGTATTGACAAAAGCATTTTTTTTTTTTTTTGGTCTTTTTGAGACAGGGTCTCCCTGTAGCCCCAGCTGACCTGGAACTCGCTATGTAGACCAGGCTGGCCTCGAACTCACAGAAATCCGCCTGCCTCTGCCTCCCAACTGCTGGGATTAAAGGCATGTGCCACCATGCCCGGCCTCACAAAAGCATTTTACCAACTAAGCTATCTCCCCAGACCACGGTAGGATTATCTTTTTTTAATTTTTTAATTTTTTTTTTGTCTTTTTTGAGACAGGGTTTCCCTGTAGCCCCAGCTGTCCTGGAACTCACTATGTAGACCAGGCCGGCCTTGAACTCACAGAGATCTGCCTGCCTCCGACTCCCAAGTTCTGGGACTACAGGCATGCACCACCATGCCCGGTGATTTTTTTATTTTTTATGTGCATGAGTGTATTGCCTGCATGTATGTATGTGCACATGTGTTGTGCAATGCCTGAGGAAGTCAGAAGAGGGGACTGGAGCCCCTGGAACTGGACTTACAGATGGTTGTTAGCCACCATGTGGGTGCTGGGAACCAAACACCAGTCCTCCGCAAGAGCAAACAGTGCTCTTAACTGCTAAGCCATCTCTCTAGTCATGAAAGGATTATTTAAGAATAGAAGTTTATCTGGGGCTGGAGAGATGGCTCAGCGGTTAAGAGCACTGGCTGCTCTTGCAGAGGACCTGGTTCAATTCCCAGCACCTACATGGTGGCAAAAAAACGTCCATAACTCTAGTTCCAGGAAAATCCGATGCTCTCTTCTGACCTCCGTGGGCATTGCAAGACACAGGTGCACTTATACACATGCAAGCAATATATACATAAAAGTAATATATTTTAAGAATAAAAGTTAATCTATGTAAGGGGCTGAGGTATAATTCAATGGCAGGACATATGCTCAGTATATGAGACCCTGAGTTCTAGTGTCAGCAACAACAAACAAAACATCATCTGGGTATTCAAACATCCAGCAATAAGCTTTTCCTCTGTTTAAATAGTACTGGAGACATAACTTGGTTCTTGAGCATGTTAGACAGGTGCTTTACTACAGCCAGCCTGAGCTTCCTTAATCCTTATAGGTGTCAGAAATTCCCTTCTGCGAGGCGCTCTAATCTCCGCAGGTGACTGGCTCAGTCCAGTGACAGAGTGAGGAAAGGCAAGAGTGAGTGGGTATCAGGAACTCACCTGGGCCTCCCAGAGGACGCAGTCTGTTGGGCAGTGGCTGGAAGGCTGGCAAGGGCAGCAGGACCACTCCCACACTCTGCACAGCTGCCAAGCAGTGACTCTGTTTGTTGTTGAGGTAGGAATAGAGCAGGCGGTAATTCTGGATGTCCCGAGCCCCATGGGGACACAGTCTGACCACGCAGACCTCCTGAAGGGGACAGGAAAATGGCTGAGGAGACTTATCCTCTGCCTGTACCAACACTGAGATTCACCAGACCTCTGAGAACCCACTTCCTTTAGCAGGAAGCAGGAGGACTTATCCAAGGTCCTGGTGAGCTTGCAGTCACACTGGAAACTAGGCCTCTTTGGCAGAGGTGGGGAAGGAAGGAGCTGGGAAGGGGAGATGAATAGAAAGGTTACCCGAGAACAGGCAGTTACCTTGGTTCCTGCTGGGTACAAGCTGGCCAGAAGGTCCCAGACAGTATTGGGAGGGAGACAGCCTGCTGAGCGGATGACCTTGGGCAGAGCCTGAAGGCAGGTGGGATGGCCAGTCAGCCCCCAGCTTCCCACCCTCTTAGGCAGGCTCATTCTCTATGACCTCAGGCTACCTCAGGAGAGGAAGGACAAACAGCTGATCTGGACACTCAGTAGCTTCCCAGAGAGTTCTAACTGTGCCCAGAGGCCTACAGCCTGTCCTGACAACATATGGCCTCAGAAACCCTCACTCACTCCCCATTCAATACTTTAATTGATCACTCAGTCACTCAACCATCACTCCTAAAACCCTCCTCTGGGCTGAGAGGCACTCAAGTTCTCTCCTGGGCCCCTCCTGCCTTATGCTTTGGGGTACAGGGAGTTCTTTGTCCCGAATGTCTTAGGAATGGAGCTAGTATGTTATCTGTCCTCATGCCTAGCACAAGCACATTGACTTGCCAAAAAAATGAATTATTGACTAAATTAAGTAGTATGTGAGTCCTTGTAATCAGAAGTGGTGTGTACCTGAGCAAGCTGGCAGGTGTGTCCTGAGACCAGCTGGGCCTTGGCCTTAAACCGCTTGATAGAGAACACGTCCAGTGTGCCCTCCCAAGGTGGAGGGCTAGGCAGGGCATTTGTGGGCCCAGCAGACATCTGGAGCCTAGAAAGAAAGACAAAGCCAGACAGAGCCAGTCATTAGGAAGTCCCCAGTACCACCTTCCTCTGCAGAGCCAGTGCTGTGTTGCCACTGCAGATAAGGGAGCGTTGGTCCAAGCATAACCTTGGTGCAGGAGGGAACTAGGAGGCTCATGGGTTCCATTTCACAGACAGGCAAACTGAGGTTCCCAGACATGAGAAGACTTGCTTAAAGGCATATAGGAAGGACACCCCTGTATTGTGTCTGCTGGAGCTGGTAGCCACCCCAAAGCAGATTGCTGGGTTGCCCACCACCTGGTACCCAGCTCCACACCTGTCCTGCGGCTCCTTGGGAGGTATCTCCCTGGCTTTGAGCCTCTCTGGAGAAGACACAGAAGCTGGGCTTAAGCCTCTCTGGATGACTTTGTCCTCACTGTTCATGGTGGCTTCAGAGACTGTCAGTTCACTTGGGGGGTTCCAGTCTGCGAAGAGCAGAGGCAGAAGCTGAAATAGGGGCAGGGACAGGCAGAACCAGCCCACAGCTCGATGGCCAAGACTTGAGCAAGCTTCATTCTGAGGTAACCTGGGGGGACACAGGCACTCCCATTCTGTCACCTTCTCACTAAGCCACCCACTGGTGTTGCTGCTGATGCCCACCTACTACTGGTGCTCCTCCTGTCCCCCTCCTACCGTTACAAATAAGGAAGTTGGGGTCTAGGGAGTGGTGCTGGTGCTGCTCCGTGGTGTCCTCTTGCAGGGTCAGCAGGGCCTGTGAGGTGCATTCTCTGTGCACCATAGGTTCCTGGAAAGCACAGGGGACAGAGAGGGACAGATGGCAAGATGGCCAGGGAAGCCAGGAGTCCTCACTGGGTAGGGAGTCTCAGGAATAGGGCTACTTTTCTAAATACATTTTTCTATTTCAAAATACTGTGGATTTATGCCAGGCATGGTGGCACATGCCTTTAATCCCAGCCCTCAGGAAGCAGAGGCAGGTGGATCTCTATGAGATCAAGGCTAGCCCAGTCTACATAGCAAGTCCAGGCCAGCTGGGCCTACAGGGAGGTCTCAAAAAAACAAAAACAAAATCAAACAATGAAAAAAAAACCCACCCTTTGTTCAGACAAAGGCTAAGACACTGGATGTTCTAAACTCACAGAGATCCACCTGCCTCTGCCTCCTGAGTGCTGGGATTAAAGGCATGCACCACCACACCTGGCTATTTATCATAGTTTTTTAATGCACATGGTCTGAGGGGGTTCTTTCTGTACTAGCTGGGATCAAATATATTTTGAATCCTCCTTTTGCCCATTAATTACCGGGGCGACATCTGCCCCCCTTTCCAGTCCCTATGGACTGATGGGGCAGGCTACCGTGTCTATTGCTAGAGGTCTGGGTCACTTCCAGGCTGCAGCTACCATAAATCTCAGGGAACATCTTTGTGTGCAGTGTGTTCCTAAACTTCACATCTTTTCCTTAGGTCAAGTTCTCAGAAGCAAATGATAGAACTGGGGAGAAGAAACATTTTAAAGACTTCATGTTCATTGTCAAATCACTTTTCCCCACTCATAACAGAAATCCCTTTCAACCCAAACTGCTTTCCAAGGGTTTAGAAAGATTCTCAAAAGCTACCTTGTTTTATAATCACATCGAGGGCAGGGCCAAAGCACAGGCTTTGGAATGACACAGCCCAGGTTCATGTCTCAGTTCCACTCCTGTACGCTGCACTACCTTGGACCAATAATTAGGGGTTCAGTGAGACAACAGCACTGTCGTCACTGCCGTGTTCCAATGACGTAAAAGGGGCACTGTGGCAGGAACTCAATTAAGAGCAAAGATTCTTATCTCTGCCACCTTCCCTCCTCTCCTCTGCCACCTGCCCTCTTCCCCTCTCCTAGGACCTCTCTCTAGGTGTCTCCAGTTCCTCTCATATGCCAACACTCTGTCTTCAAGGGAAATGTGGCTTGGCTTGTGCTGAGGACAGCTGCAGCCCCTGAGGGCTCCTCTCCACACAGGCAGTGACTCTTGGCTTGAATACTTGGGGTGGGAGGTGGGGGGGGGTGCTGGTGCAGGGAGTTTGGCTTGTCACATTCACTGCCATTTCCCCAGGATATGGCACCTAAAAAGTATTCAATAAATCTGTACCAAGGGAATAAACATGGGCAGGGGGACCTGCCCTGCACCTGATTAGAGTCAGGTGACAAATGACCCACAGAGCACCCAACTAAGCCACAGTGGTCTTCTGGGAGTGATGGACATGAGCCAGGGGGCAGATCCAGTTGGCTATAAGACACTGAGATGTCTCAGTTAACCAAGTTTGGGGCTGCTGAGCCACTGTGCCAGGCAGTATCTGGGTAAAATGGAGAAGCACAGCTCGAGGATGGTACAGGATATGCCAGAGGGTAGAGACAACCTTATCAACGAGAGGTCACCTAGACCTTGGACCTCCTCTAGGTGCTAGGGCAAGTTCAAGGTGGCCTCTGGCTGGACTGCCCAGAGCACTGGGCAGTTCCCTGCTTGTGGCAATTTCAAGCAAACAAATCCACTGAATAAAAAGTCTCTCACATCTAGAAAAGCCACTGCCTGGAACACTGGCTTCCTACTTCCCTACCTCAGACTGACAAGAATGGCTGGGGCTGGGGGTGGGGTGGTGACTGCAATGACAGGTCTTAGTGTCACTCACACAGGTGCTCTGGAGTCAGGTTAAAAGGAGGGAGACCAGCACCAGATGAGCACCACAGCTATGTTCCATGCCACACCCTGTGCAGCAAGGAGCACAATCTCTGCTAAACCTTGTACAAAGAGGTTGAAGAACAAGCAGGTGACCTTGCCTAGGACCCCACAGCTGGTAGAGTGAGGAGAGGAGCCCATGTCCAGCCCAGGTCTCCCCTTACCACCAGGTCCTCCAGGGTCAGCATCTGGTCCATATCCCGTGGGATCTCCACTTCACCCTTGTGAGTCAGTTTGGAGGCAGGAAGTCTATGAGGCTCATTCTGTTGTCGCTCAATGATCTCCAGGCCCTGGAGAGAACAAGCTAAGTCCAGTCAGGAGTCTCTGCCACCAAGCACCTAAGCACTCTCTTCCTTCCCTCAAGGCCCCTCCTTTGTGGCTCCTGTCCCATGCCAGCCTTTTGCTTGCCCCTGGGGCTGGTGAGATGGATCAGTGGTTAAGAGCATAGGCTGTTCTTGCAGATGACATGGGTTTGTTTCCCAGCACCCATATGGCAGCTGACAACTGTCTGAAACTCCAGTTTTAGGGGATCCAATGCCCTCTTCTGGCCTCTGTGGGCCTTGCATGACATGGGTGTTCTTACACACATATAGGTAAAATGCTCATACACATAAAGTAAAAAGAAATAAAAATTTTAAAAAAGCAAGCCAGCCCCCTATGCTCACTCATTCAAGTTCTGCCTCCTCCAGGAAGGATTCCCAGACTTGGCTTTCACCCACAAATCAATCATGTCTCCGGCTGCACCTCCCCCCCATCCCAGGTAGGCTGTGTTGTTGGGGAACAAGCTGGCAGGCAGAGTTGGACTATCAATAAAGACGCCAGGGGGTAGTTTGGTCTTGGGCCAGCACTTGGCTGCTCTAAGCTTAAGCTTATCTGTTCTCTGGGGATTAAGAGCACTGTATTAAATAAACGTGGAAGGGCCGGCCTAACTGTGATTCTTGCTGTTGATCATGTCACTGGACCCAGAATTGTTTCTAGAAATTGTTGTCTTTCCTTCCTATTGGTGCTGGAGGTCAGGGATCCTGCCCTCTAAGCGGGTGGGTTTTAGAGTGGAGGAAATGAGGAGTCACACTGGGCCCTGTGCTCAAAAAGGACCCACACTTGTTTAAGGCTCTGCAGACATCGCCCCAAAATTCTCGTGTGGGGGGGGGGGTACATATGTGTGCAAGTGCATGTGGAAGTCACAGGTAAACCTTGGATGTCTTTCCTCTAGAGTCATCCACCTTGTTTTTTGAGACGTGGTCTCCCACTAGGATCGAGGGCTCATCCATTCAGCTAGGCTGGTTAGCCAGCCCCAGGGATCTGCCTGTCTCTACCTCCCTAGTGCTGGGATTACATGCACATGCCACCATGCCTAGCTTTTTACGTGGGTGCTGGTGATCAAACTCAGGTCCTCATGCTTGTGTGGCAAGCATGAGGACTTTACTGACTTTACTGACTGAGCTATCTTTCCAATACCTCACCCTGAAATTCTTTACAGCTGCTGAGCAAAGGTTGCAACTGACCCCCTAAACTACACAGCTGCTCCTGCCCCATGCCATGTGTACACAGTACCTGGAGAGAAATTGAGCTGAGTAGACAGATTCACCTGCTGGACTGGTGGTTAGCTCTCCCAGAACAACACCTTAGCTACCTAAGTGCCTCATCACTAGACCAGTCAGTCCCTTCCCCCTCTGGCCATCAACAAACATTAGGTGAATCTTCTCCAAAGCCACTCTATACCATGTCTTCCCATGAGCAGGGCACAGGAGGACTTGACTGTGGAGACTGGAGCTGTGGTGCCCTTCCCCCAGCCTGGAACTGCCAGAAAGACCTCTAGCCTTTTCCAGACCTGAGGCTGGGACCAGAGGAGGGGCACTGGGACTTCCTCATGTGGTGATGACACAGCCCTGGGCTCTAGACTCTAGACCTCAGCTCCCCTCCCCCAGACAGCCCAGCTCCATGGAAAAACACGTCACCTCTCAAAGAAGTCCTCTGTGTCCATATATCTCAGGCCTGCCTCTTTTCACACTTTTCTCCTGGGAGGGTCTCCAGATTGCCTTCTCTGTTTCCTCACTGCTTCTCACTGGTGGTTCTGTCTCTCCCCCCTCCCCTGCTCTCACTGTCCATTGCCAACACCCCTATGTCCTCCCTCCCCCTCCTCCCATGATTGGCTTTACAGCTCACCCTTCTCTCCTCCTGGTCCCGCCAGCAGGACAGCTCCTGAGGGGCCAGTTGGATTGAACTCATCCTCACCAGGTCATGAGGGCTGACATCACAGTGAGCCACTTTGAGAAACAGGTCCTGTGGGGGAATAGAAAGAATACACCATTCCACTCTGACAGTTCTCACCCAACCTGCTGCTGGCTCCTGGTGTCTGTGAAGGGAGGGCTGGGAAGGTCAATCCCCTGCTCACTGAGTTCCGGGGATCCCGCAGGTTGAAGAGCAGACTGCGGTACTTGGTCTTGTAGCGGATGTTGGTGTCTTGGGTCAGGTGGAAGAGGGCTGCCTCAATGCCCTCAGCAATGGCTCCTACCTCCTCCTCCGTCAGGAGCAGGTCAGGGAGCTCCCGGATGCTGTGGGGGTGAAGGAGAGCCCTGACCCTCAGCGGGGGGCTGTCACGCAAGTAGTCCCAGGAGGAGATGTAGGGGTGGGGGACAGGAGCTGAGACATCTCCTTTCTATTATGGGTTAATTTCCCTTGGGCCTGCAGATTCCTAACCCCAGCTCTCTGGGAAAGAAATGGTGTCCTCCTCCATTTACACAGAGCTCAGAGTTCAGGGCTTGCCCAAGGCCACATGATAGATCTGTGGCAAGGCAAGATTTAAAGCCAGACACCCCATCCCACCCCCAGCCCAGCTTCTCTCTCTCTGGCCAGAAGAGCTGAGGAATGTATGGAAAGAATCAGGCCTGTGGGGTGGAGACATCCACCAGGGGAGAGGACTGACATGGCTCTGAATTTGCTACTGACTTGCTGTGTGGCCTTTGCGAACTCCTGCCCTCTCTGGGCTTGGTCTCACCATCTTTAAATAAGAACCGTAGGCTCAGATCTCTGACACAGTCCCAGTCCAGACTCTTGTTGTGGTTGATGACATGTGCCAGAGATACCTAGGTTTACGTTTCAGCAATCCTCCAGCTTTGTGTGGGGGCCAGTGACCTCCCCGTTACTAAATGGGGGCCAGACGGACACACACACACACACACACACACTCCCTCATTCACACAGGCCCTCACATGTGGCCTGGCTCTGGGGGTATATGGAACAGCCTATCAGCACAGCTGGGAGGTGGGAAGCAAGGTCTCACCGACTCCACAGGGCTTCCTGCATGGCACGGACCACAGTGGACCTCACTCTGATATCCAGAGGCACCGTCTCCTGCTGGGGCTGAAGCTGACCTGAGGTGGGGTGGAGGGACAGGCTCCCAGGGTATATCCAGGGACATGAGGATGGGCAGATTTGAGGGGTTCGGGCCCCCCCTCAAGGATGTATGCAAACCCCCCCACCCACTCCTTTGGAGAAGAACTTTTGGCTGATGGGAAGGGAAGGATCTTAGCAGAAGGCAGGAACTAGGAGCAAATCCTCCCCAGACCCCAGCAGTCCCTCTGGCCTTCACCTGGGTCCTCTGCCCCTTGCTCAAGAAGCTCCCCATCTTCAGTATCCATGGACTTGAACTGCAAGGAGAGATGAGGAGCATGGTAGAGAGGCAAACCCAGGGTGCCTGGGTCCTCTAGGTCTTGAGACTTATGCCCATGTGCTCCGTGACCTGCTCCTACCAAGCCTGCTTTGTGTCAGGGGCAGCCCCCATTCACCCCTGGCCACCCAGTCTCTGTGCAAAGTAAGAATATAGTGTCAACCAAAGATCTTAGGCCACTCACAACTCCTTTGAAAAAGTTCATTTGGATGTGAAATGAGGCATCAAATACTGAAATAAAGTGTTTGAGCTGGGCATGGTGGTGCACACCTTTAATCCCAGCACTCAGGCTGATCTCAGTGAGTTCCAGGCCAGCTGGGGCTACAGGGAGACCCTGTCTCATAAAAGCAAAATAAAACAAAAGATGACTGGGAATCTGGGGCAGCAGAACACCTGGGCCAGTGGGGATCACAGCAGAGGCTCTCCAAACAGTGGAGGTCCAGTTCCCCTGCACCCCCAAATTCCCAAATTCAGAAGGAAGAGCCTCCACAGAGTCCAGGACAGCAGCCAAGTGAGGTTACCCACCTGTAAATATCGTTCTATGTGACCTTGACCAAGTCCCCACTCTGGCCCTCAGTAACTTCTCAGGGGAAGGCACCCCTGGAGGCAGAATTAATCCTAGGTTAGAAAGCTGGCTCTATACCTGGCACCCCAGGGGGATCCGAGTCATGGGTCTCCTCCTCCTCCTCCTGGCCTTTGGGGTGAGTGAGCCTGAGCCAATCTCCATCATGTCCTCGAGAGCCTCCAGCCTGTCCCCTGCCTTGCTGTGGCTGATGGCCCCCAAGAGCCGGATCACTGACCCAGAGCAGAGCTGCAGGGAGAGAACATGTCACTGCCCTGTCTATACAGGGCAACTGTTTATTGTCTCTGGCCTCCACAAGCCAGTACTGTCCGTGAAGACAGGATCTATACTACACCCCCAGCCTCTACAAAGGCCTGGTAGGCACTGTCTGCTGACTGACAGGCCTCTGTCCCCTCTGGCACCCTCTCATCTCCCAGCCCCATTCAATGCCAACAGACCCTGCACTAGGACCCTTCTTACCTCTTCCTCCACAGCTTACCAGGCATGTCATACCTGTCCTGACTGTACTACCTCTTACTCAAAGGTCTCTTACATCTCTTTCATGGGCCCTCCCTGAAGCTAAAGCTGTTATCACCCATTTATTGTCTCTCAGAGAAAGTCTTTCATGGCTATTTAAAGTGCTGGGTAGTTTAAGGCCTTTTAATAGTCCACTCCTCTTTTTGCTATTGTTGCTAGGAAGCTCAGTGCTCAAGAGTTTTGAAATTGTCTTTCCAAGACTGGTAGATAAGAGGGTGGGGGGCTATTTAAGATTTTCTCTCTTATTTTCCTTTCCTTGCTTCCTTTGAGATTTTGTCCCATTTTTAGTATGTTATAAACACAGGAATTATGTTGAAAACACGCATGAGTATAAATTAATCCTTGCATGAATGATCACAGAATGGTTGGGCTGCAAGTTTGGGGGAGAACCAGAAGAGGGCAGGCGAGAGAGGGCCCAGACAGCCTCCGCTATGGAGAACCAGCCCACCCACTACCCCAGAGCAGAGGGAGGGAGAGGGGCAGCAGCAAAGAAACCTACGTAACACACAAGCTTCACCCCACGGGATGCTCTTGATTCCTCCTAGGAGAAAAAGAAAATGCAGAGGTTAGAATCCAGAGGATCCAGTGACACCCCCCCAGTGACAACCCCCCTCCGAGAATTCATAAGAAGGCATTCTTTTGAAGGCATTCTTATCAAAGACTCTGGGCACACTCCTTAGTCTATCAAAGGGGGCATGGTTAACACCGTTAATACACGATAAAGCATGGTGTGTGTGTGTGTGTGTGTGTGTGTGTGTGTGCGTGTGTGTGTGTGTGTGTGTGTGCGTGTGCGTGCATGTATGCGCAAGCCTTTCCGAGATTGGTAGAGGGTGAATATATATATATAATTCTATGTGACCATTAAATAAAGGAGGAGGTCATAATAAAAATTATCTTTTCCTGAGGGCCTGGAGGGCACGCCCTGCATGAATTTACCACTGTCAAGATACCAGGAGGTGTGGTCTAGTCTACTAGATTACAGATAAGAAACCTGAACTTCAGAAGGCTCTACAAAGTCCTAAACTGCTGGGCCTGGTGGCACATGCCTTTAATCCCAGCACTCAGGAGGCAGAGGCAAGCAGACCTCTGTGAAATAGAGGGCAGCTTGGTCTACATAGCAAATTCCAGGTCACCCAGGGCTACAGGGAGACCCTGTTTGTTTTTGTTTTTGTTTTGTTGTTGTTGTTAGCTTATTTTTAAAAAAAAAGAAGTCCTTAGTTACTGAGCTGTAGAGTTAATGTTTGAGCTTAATTCTCCCTGACTCCACAGCCCCAACCCTGAATTGCTGGGCTATGTGGTGCTGTGGAAAGATTCATAGGAAGATGTCATGATGCGTTATTGGGAGAGAAAGAGGGAAAAAAAAAATAGGTTACAGAACAGTATCTGTTGCGTAAGCCCATTTATGTAAATATATATTTATAGATGCAAAATAGATGTTATCTCTAGGGAATGAAATTCCAGGGAGACTTCCACTTCCTACATGTATACACTTGGGGATTTATGTTATTCAAAATGAGTATGTATTTCTTTCATAATCAGAAACATATTTTTTATTAAAAAGCAAGAGCAGAACAATATATGTAGCATGCTACCATTTGTGTTACAGAGAAAATGAATTTTTAAATTTGTATTTGCTTGAATACGCATAAAATATATCTGGAAGTTTCCGAGGAACCTAATAGCCCTGGCTGCCAGCAGGGAAGGTGCTGGGTGCTGGGAAGGAGACTGTGCGGTCGGTTTCTTTTTTAAACCATGGGAATGAATCAGCCTTTCAAAAAAGTAATAGAGGGAGAAAGAAGGAATACAGGACATCTGGGGGAGAAGAGTCGGGAGAGAGGCAAGACCAATCCTTTCTTCGTAGTTTGAAGCCTTCCGGCTGGCCCTGACTTCCAGGGTCCTTCCACCAGGCTTCAAAACAAACAGGCAACAGAATGGGACAGACAGTCTTTAGCTGTCCCAGACAGAATGAAGGACATGAACGGATAAGATATTTAAAGAAATAAAGGAAGGCTGAAGGGCAAAAGGCTCTTTAATACAAAGACAAAAACAGATTCAGCTGGAAACCAAACACAACTTCTAGAAATAAAAACATATAAGCATAATTAGAATTAGAAACTTGGTGTATAGGTTTAATAGCATATCAGACACAGCTGAAGCCAATTAATGAGCTGGAAGATAGAGTTAAAGAAATTATCCCAAATATTCACAGCAGAGGCTGCAGAGCAAAGTCAAGAAGACACAAATGACAGCGTGAACAGACTAATTAATCTAACTAATTAGGAGAGGGGAGAAAGTGCAATGGAAGCAGTACATGAAGACATATGGCTAAGAATTTTCCATGGCTGATAAAAGACAGCAATTCACAGTTTCAAAAAGTTTGGTGGACTTCAAACATGAAAGATAACAGGAAACACACCTAGACACATCAATAAGTAGATTCAAAAAGCAGCAAGAGTCAGGCGTGGTGGTGCTCGCCTTTAATCCCAGCCCTGTGGAGGGAGAGGCAGGCAGATCTCTGTGGATTCAAGGCCAGCCTGGTCTACATAGCGAGTTCCAGGCCAGCTGGGCCTACAGGGAGACCCTACCTCAAACAGACCCAAAAAAAACCACTAAGAGAGGGACCAGAGAGATAGCTCAGCAGTTAAGAATATATACTGCTCTTGCAGAGGACTTCAGTTCTGTTCCCAGCACCCACATCAGATGGCTCACAACCACCTGTACCTCCAGCTCCAAGAGTTCTGATGCCCTCTTTTGGTCTCCACAGGCACCTACACTCAGACATGCACATTCCTACACAGAGACATACACATATATATATATTATTTTTAAAAAAAATTAATCAGGAGCCAGGCGTGGTAGTGCACGCCTTTAATCCCAGCACTCGGGAGGCAGAGGCAAGCGGATCTCTGTGAGTTCAAGACCAGCCTGGTCTACATAGTGAGTTTCAGGACAGCTGGAGCTACAGAGAGACCATCTCAAAAAGACCAAAAAAAAAACACAAAAAAACAAAAAAAAAAAAATAAATGTGGTGGCACAAGACTTTCGTCCCTGCACTCATGAGGCAAAGGCAGGCGGTGAGCTCAAGGCCAGCCTTATCTACATAGTGAGTTCCAGGCCACCCAGGGCTGCATAGAAAGATCTCCCACCAAAAAATATAAAAACAGATCTTCAAAAAGCATCAAGAGAAAAAATAGCAGCGTACAAGAACACTTTCAGTGGTCTACCACTGTGGTAAGTGCTGCTGGTGCACTGCATTCCCACCATGATGACATGAAAAAGGTACCGGGTTCTATTTCCCCCACATTTGATGAAGAGGAAACTGGGGTACAAGGAGAGGTTAATCAGCTAGCAAACCAAAGAGCTGACACTTAAATCCAGGCAGTTGGATTCTAGAAGGCTGCACCCTTAGGCACCATACTGCAGAGCTCTTCACTAAACAACACTGGTCTAACAGGTGACTTCTCAGTGGTAAGAAGGAAAAGCAAAGATGTAGGATGCTGCTATATTTTCAAATAAAATGACTGCAAACTGTAGATCCAGACAAAATATTTTTTGAGAATAAAATGAAATAAAGGTATTGTAAAGAAAACAGAAAGTTGTTTTTCTTTATATGTTTCTGTTACTCAATAAACAACATGTACTCTAAAAGCAAAATGATCTAAAAATGCTAAAGATGACCTTTTTTGGTCTTTTTGAGATAGGGTCTCCCTGTAGCCCCAGCTGTCCTGGAACTCACTATGTAGACCAGGCTGGCCTGAACTCACAGAGATCCACCTGCCTCTGCCTCCCGAGTGCTGGGATTAAAGGCCTGCGCCACCATGCCCGGCTTAAGATGAACTTTAAGTGGAAGGAAAGACAAATTATTCCACATAGGAATAATGATGAATTTTGAGCAAAGAAAAAAGATAAATACCTCGTTAAGCCTAAACATTGTCTGGAATTCCAATAACAGTGTATAATTTGTGGAATTAAAAATGTAAGGGACAGCTGGGTGTGGTGAAAAACGAAAGAGGAAAGAACCCTTTCCTCCCCAAACTGCTTTTAGTCATGGTGTTTCTCACAGGAACAGACAGCTAACTAGAACACACCACACAAAGCTACAACTCTGAACTCATGAGCATCGGATAACATAATCTCAAAAGTGATAAAGCCAAAATTGACACAACTACCAAAAGAAGGCATCCATCATTACAGCAAACATTGATCTCTGAATCAAGCTGACAAAGCAATTGATAAGCATAAAAAAAATTGGCCAAACAATTAACTGCCCTAATCTACATATACAATGTTGCTCCTGACAACTGGAGAATACATATTCTTTTCAGGTATACATATACATGAAGATTGTGCACATCCCGGACCATAAACCAGACTAACAAACTTCAAAGGATTATTTTATTTTATGTGTATGAGTGTTTGCCTGCATGTATTTATGTGTACCACGTTTGTGCCTGGTGCCCTCAGAGGCCAAAGACAGGCTTGAAATCCCCGGAACTGGAGTTACAGATGGTTGTGAGCTGCCATGTGGGTGCTAGGAACAGAACCTGAGTCCTCTACAAAAGGACCATCTCTCCAGTCCTACATTAGTAATTATATATATATATACACACATACATACATATACAGTATGGGCCTGTGTACCACAGTGAACCTGTGCAGGTCAGAGGACAACTCTGGAGAGTCGATTCTCTCCTTCCACCTTCACATGTGTTCTAAAGATTGAAATCAAGTGGTCAGGCACTCACAGCAAGCATCTTTACCTGCTAAGCCATCTTGCTAGACCAGTGATTTTTTTTTTTGAAACAGGGTCTCACTATATAGTCATGTCTGGTCTGGAGCATGCTATATAGAACAGGATGTGATATTTAAAAGGTTCATTTATAGCTTTAAATGACTATTTTAAAAAGAGGAAATTAAGCCAGGCATGGTGGTCCACACTTTATTCCAGCACTAGGGAGGCAGAGATAGACGGACTCTGAGTTTGAGGCCAGCCTGGTCTATATAGTGAGTTACAGGCCAGCCAAAATTTTAAAAAAACAACAAAAAGAGGAAATTATAAAATAAACATTATGTTTAAGGTGTTATAACAATATGATGAAGAATATTAAATAAAAACGAAAAACAGAGAAGATCAACAAACCCCAAAATAGATTCTTTGAAGAAAACAAGTCTCTGGCCAGAATGATTACAGAAAAGAGAAAAGGTGGAGCTAGAGAACATGTGGAATGAGTAATTAGACAGATAGCATGGATACCCTAGAAAAATGTAACTTAAAACTGATTCAAAACAAAAATTAATATGAGACGGGTAAGAGGCTGATCCACTTCCTCCTGGGCAAGTGTTAAACACTGGTAGAGCACTGTTAAAAATCTGCTCAAATCACCACCACTGTTAGTGATAAGTGCTCGAGGGGTTTTGGGGTTTTTTTGTTGTTGTTTTTTTTTTTTTTTTGGTCTTTTTGGGACAGGGTCTCCCTGTAGCCCCAGCTGTCCTGGAGTCACTATGTAGACCAGGCTGGCCTTG